TCTGCCAAATTCTAGTGAAACAAATTACAGTAGCTACTACTGTAATTAACCCAGGCTTTCATACTTTGGGTATTTGTTCGACAAGAATGTTATGTCCGCCATCCCTGTGAATTCGACTCAGCACCTATTGGACTCGAATGCTGCATTGACGTTCGACGTGAACTGGGGCCCATTCGTGTGCTTTGCGCCGAAAAAAAATGGCGACGGTTGTGTTGCTTGATAAGGTTCTGCAAAGGGTCTAAGTGTCATGCTATATAACAATGCATCAACACATACTATTAAACTATATGCTCAGAGGTGTGTTTGTTTTTCCAATTAACAAGTTACAGCACTGTGCTTTAATGCTATTATCATGTGTGTAGTTTTAAGTATCCCCTCTGCAATGCCTACGAAGGCCCCTGGAAGGAATAAATTAATAAATAACATTTTCACATCACTGGAGTTGGTTTTCGGATGCACCACATGTTCAGGAAAGGTTGAACGAGTGAAGCCCCTTGCAAGAAGTCTGCCAGTCTGGTATGACCCCTTAATTAATATTGAAGGGTCAGAGAAGCGAGTGTCCTCGTAAGGTCCAGAGCGTGCAATGGACACAATTCTCGGTGTGTAGACTCTCAAGGCTTGAAGGCAAGCGGAAATATGTTTATCTGGTTAGTGTATCAAATATGTTTATTTCCACTTGATTACATAGTTATTGATTCTTAGTAAATCGTTCCATAACGAGTTCTTTCTGCGACAGTCTCGTGTCAGGCGTTCAGTCGTAGTACCTGTGGACCTTGTTGTCGGATGACGCTCCTGGCACGTCGGTGTTCAGTTTGGTCAAGTGGCAACTTTGACCGACTGATGCTGTCTTGTAATCATAGGTCATGTGCACTGAAGTTGCAGGGCTGGCTTCTAATCCGAAAATTTTCCTGGTAGTTTTCGGCATCAATGTAGCAAGCTCGGGCATGTACTGCTTACGTGGCTGTGCCTTTTGCTGTACCGTTGACTTGAAAGCTGGCAACAATTTTTGTTTGCTATCCAAGTCTGGTGATGCTTGCAGTTCACTTTTGAGAGCAACCAACCATTCTATTCCTTCAAGTCACTCAGGGGCATTGTCCCTCAAAGTTGGAAATTGTGTGCTTCGTGGAGTGGACACAGAAAATTGGTGTCAGCAAATTTTTAGGTATTGTCCTTGGACGACAACTGACACCAAATCCACTGTCACTGCATCGCCGCTCACCTGCTTTGTCGTGCTTACCTCTTGTTGAGGTGATGGACATGAGGAGCTTTGGGGTAATCAGGGATACAGAATCTTCATTCAGCACCTTCGGCATCAGGGACAAAGGTCGCCGAAGGTAATCCTTAATCTCCTGTGGTCGCTCCTCGAGACGTAATCGAGAGTCGTTTGGCACGAACCCTCGCCGACCAATTCATTGGTACGGGCTGCTTTGGTAGACATGGTCGGCTTCATGCAGTGGTAGCAAAGTGGTTTTCAATCGCACATTCGCATCACCTACGTTTTCCTCGGTGTACTTTGTTGAGTACAGTCCTACACACGATGTCGGGAATGCTTCGGCGTTGTGTCTCATTGAATTGGCATTGAATACTAAGGGGCAGCCGGTGGCGGTCGTCGTGCCATTGTGGCGTAAGTTGCCCTTGGTTTGTCAGATGCCGCTTCGCTCGCAGAAGTCTCGGCTGAAATACCTGTCAAACTTGTTCCGCAAAAAATCTCGGCAATCAAAACAAAAGCCGGGCAACTGATGGCAGGAAGTAGCTTCCTGATCTCCTCCCAGACAACGTCGTGGGTGATGTCGTGGATGCCTGGGAGGCTGGCGTCGAAGTAGTAGCTGGACAACTCGAGTGTCGAGACGCCGGGAAGTTGTTCATAGTGGCAGGATCGGGCATGCAGTGCACATTCCATGTCGGAAGCCTCGGTGATATGAACACTTCGACTGTTGTTGGGGGGTTGCGGACAAGGCTGCCGAAGGCGTTGTCCCTCACGTGAGGCGTATACGATTCTTAGGTTCTTGTCTTCTGTAGCATCAAGGTCGGCGTGGGCGTGGGCGCTCGATCAAGCGCAAAACATCCTCGACGAGTGCGGTGGCGCTCTCATTGGGGCAGTGTCCTGGACAGAATCAAGAATGCGGCTCTCTTTCGTTGATGTTAGCTGACGGATGCGCGCTTCAGCTTGATCTTGCAAACTTCCCATGACGTTAAGGAGGATCCATGGTTCTCAGACCAGCGCCGGCAGTTGCTTCCACGAGAAGTATAGGTTCTGCAGGAGCTGGTTGTCTGTCCACCCAATGTGGCGGGCGACACTGTCATATTGTTCAATCCAGTCTTTGACGTCTTCATACAGCTTGCGTGAAAAAGCGTCGAGTGTGATTTGCGACGGGCATGGAAACAATGGTGGGAGGGGACATGGTTTGCTGCTACAGGTTTGTCATTGTTGGCTTAGTCAGCTTCGGATTTTCTGACAGGAGACCGAATTCCGGTGGTTTTTCCTGGTAGCAGCAACTGGCTCGGATTTCAGGTGCTTCGTGGTGTATTTCCGAGGTTACTCCTTGTGGCACTCGGTCGTCTTGCGGTTGTTCTGCCAGGCTCGGGTCAGGACTTTGCCTACGGCTCGACAGGGGTATAAGACGCAGGATAGTCCGCCAGCCGTGTCCCATTATCGGGTAACTCGGCTGAAGAGCCGCCGGGTTCACACAGAGTGAAGGGCTACGGGTAAAGTGCCCAGCACCTCCACCTGAACATACGATTACAGCTGAGCATGACCTGCAATGTCCCAGAATAGTGAATATTGATAGAAGATTGGACTGGAACAAGGATCCGTGAAAGTATAACAAAACTAGCAAAAGAGAATCAATCCTGACCACTGAAGAAGCTGCATTGCTATAGTGGCATTCTGTCCGAATAAATCCTCTCCTTCGGGGTGTGGCGACTGCCGTGGACGAACTGAACTGAAATGGATGTGGGACTACTTTTCTGGTAATGAGCCACTGCAGACTGTTGCCACAAAGCGGCGTGAGCTGGGTACGTAACACGCTCGGTGAAATGTCCGGACAGCTTGCAATTCGCGTAACGAGTGTGGATGAAACGTTTGTGTTGACGAAACGTGCGATAGACCAGCGGGATCAATACCAACTGCAACACCTGTGCTCCGTGAAAGTGCACGTCTACGCCGGAACAATTTCGGAAGCAGCACAGCATCATTCAGCAGGGCACGGGAACTACCAGCTTCAAGGCAGCCTTCCGGTGCGCCGCACAACCGAAGTGAGCCCTCGGTCATTTGATCGAAGCTGCACCGCGATTGCACAACGCCAAGCACGACTCACGCAATTTCCGTCGCTAAACTGTGCATCCAAATATATTGCACACGCTTCACTGCAAACCTCGAAGATTCCGATGGTCAACGAGAGCACAGAAACGTCGCCTTAAATTTTATCCTAGCGGTATCCGAATCAATCCGAGGTCCGAGCAACGTAGGTCAGATTGTCTCTTCCGTGGCAATATCCCGGTCGGTCACCAGCGAAATGCACACCGTTTCTCCGTATTTTCACGTTATACCTACGTCAAACACCACGCTGAACTCTGAACTCGCTTTCGACCGGCCTCATATGACGGCTTCCGCGTCTGAAATCAACTCGCCGAGACGAACGACAACCAACAAAGCATCCGACAAGCTCCGGCCCAGCTGGGGCCAGCCGCTTCATGGGCGCTGCCATCTTTCCTGTGACGTCACGTATTTGGTTTGGTCATGTGACGTGTGGTCAAATTTGCGTACAATGGCAGCCTCCTTATGGGGGTCACTTTCGAGTGCAGACCGGAACCCCGGTTTATCGCTCTAAGCCCCTCTACCTCGTTGGTAGATTTGCACAAAAATCAGTAGATTCCACGAAATATGTGTTTTGCCATGTTTTGCTATCTCCATTAATACACACTTCGAATTAATAGTATAGAGTAACAAATAACATGGTAATAAACACAAATAAAAATGAAAGACAAAAACAAGACCAGTTCTCCAGTAACTTTATATGAAGGAGAAATTAAAATGGCACCATAAATGTTTTTGTTTTAGTCATTATTGACTATTTCGAGGATTATTCTTTGAAATCGAGACTGAGCGCACTTTTGGGATCACAGATGAAGGCGACAGTGCGACGTTCACCTGTCGCTATTATTGAAACGAAACCGAAACAAGACGCTCCGGCAAGTGCGCGCGAACATGTCCAATGAAAGTCCTCTGCATGCTGCCATCTTTCCTTACTGGGCTGTGGAAGGTTTTTGAAGCAACGCTGTTGGTCCGGAGCACTGTTGAGGCTACGCGTCGTCTGCTACGGGCTTATTTCTTTTTCGCCTGACCCAAAGTTTGCGTTCAAACGTGGAGAAACTTCATTCGTTAGCTTTTTAAGCCACCGAGGAATAGAATTATATCATTTTCTTGCCACAGCCTGCCAAATAAAAGAAAGTAACTGAAATTCGGATGTCGATCCCATGCATTCCGCCGTACGAATTAATGAAAATTGCGGCTCTCTCCGCTCAAGTCGGAGCTATTTTAGTAGATTGTATCGGAGCAGCCGAGAGTTCAGGCGCATGCGCAAACACCTCTCGCTCTGCGCCGCGGGCTGATTGGCTCACTCGGGAGAGGGGCGTTACGGCGAGATCATAGACTAGCCAAACTCTCTCCATATATGGCTCTCGCCCGGATGTCACCGTCGAACCTGCCGAACCTGCTCTGGATGAATAGATAGATGAATATACGGCTACGTCACTCGAATAGGACGGGCTTCTGGGCCATCTAGCCAGTGCTTCGTTTTTAATTCTGGGACATTATGAGTTTCCTTTGATAGGCGACACTGGGAACTGAAGGAGCCATATAATAAATTTTTAATATGTTTACTAAAAAAAGTCAGTAGATTTTCCTGTTTTTCAGTGAATCAGTAGACCCGGAACGAAATCAGTAGATCTACTGATAAATCAGTAGACCTGGCAACACTGGCTCTAGTTTGCACGTCGTGGTTTGCACGAACGCCTTTTCTGAGCCCCCACAACGGTTGTCCCGCCGGTCCGGACGTTACGATGTAAGCTGGCATTTTTTGTTTCCTAACTTAACATTTGAGGCTTTTTGTGTGTTGTCCCTTTTTTCGTCTGTCGTCTCCGGTTTTTCAAAAATGTGTAACATCAATCATGATGTAGAATACTCGAGACTCGTAAAAGCTGGGAAACTTGGTCGAAAAAGAAAGACAGGTGAAAAGATCGTCTCAAACTCAGCTACTGCGTTTATTTCCTCAAAGCCTCATATATTCATAACCTAATCACCGACCACCGACGTCACAAAGTCAATCTTTGTTATACAATCCTACCGACACTGGTCTTCACCTCAACCGTAAACGGTGACATCAATCCCAAACTGAAAACTTGGGACCTTGAACAAAACAGACACAGCGACCCACTTCCTTGCAGCCGGAGACTGAAAGGGCTCTGCTTTATCTAAACGAGAACCGATATGTCCTCCACTGAACCTCTGCCCGCAAAATTACACATTGCACGTTAACTTACAAAAAAAAAAAAAGTTGACAAAGACATTACATTTTAAGAAACTTCTTGGAACTACTTCCGAGTTGCAATAAAGCATGGCTGATACAGTTACCGAAGGATTTGATACGAACTGTCTCTTTTATAGACGCTGTCAGCGTGGCCTCCGCGATCTGCTGCCGGCGGCGCGCGCCGCCGGCAGCAGATCGCGGAGGCCACGCTGTCAGCGAGTCAGTTACTCGAGCTGCCACCAGTCGCCGCGCCCTTCGCGCGCTTCCCGGGCCGCCATAGCCGACCTTCAGTTCCTCGCCGTTGCTCCGCGTTGTGTGCTGCACAGGCCACTACCGGGGCTTCGTTTTCGTGTTCATTTACGTTCCGCGTTGAAATCTTGCACTTTCTTTGGGTCTTTTCGCTATTTAGAACTTTCATTTAATCATTTGATATTTATATTTCGACATAGCTCTTGTATTTTCTTTTTTATGGAATGGAATCGGACAGCGAATGGGTCGACGATACTTACGAGGCGTCAATGACCATGTAAGTTCATCCCATTCTTACGTTTTTGTCGCTAATAAAGGGCAGTCAACACTATTGCGACATATGCTAATTGCAACTGACGCATAAGGCTATCGCAGTCGTGCTTCTCGCTGCATGTGCGCGCTCGTTTCCGTAAAGCCGACCCGCATGTCAGCGATTTAGCGTGCGACAAAACGAGCGACGGAGATTTTTTTTATTTTTTTTTATTTACAAATACTGTCGCCTGTTGCATCGCTCGTTTTTTGGGGGGGTTTTTAGAAAACGTCGCTCACCGTCTTGGTCGCTTGCTCCGTCACTTCCATGCGGTTTGCCTCGTCGCGCGACTGATTGAGCGACAGAAAAGCGGGTCGCTGTCGCTTATCTGGTCGCTCGCCAAATTGCCTACATGCGGTTTATACTCAATTAATCTCCATGCACACAGCAATGAACCATTGGCGCCTCGATAATAAGTATAAACCGCGTGCAAGCGATTCGGCGAGCAACGAGACAAGCGACGGTGACCCCCTCGCTGTCGCTCGGGCAGTCGCGCGACGAGGCAAACCGCATGGAAGCGACGGGAGCAAGCGACCAAGACGGTGAGCGACGTTTTCTAAAAACCCAAAAAACCGAGCGATGCAACAGGCGACAGTGAGAAATCTTCGTCGCTGACTCTCGTCGTTGTCGCCGTCGCTCGTCTCGTCGCACGCTAAATCGCTTACATGCGGGTCGGCTTTACGGAAACAAGCGCGCACATGCAGCGAGAAGCACAACTGGATAGCCTTACTGCGTCAGTTGAAATTTGAATATGTCGCAACGGTGTTGACTGCCTTTATTAGCGAGAAAAACGTTAGAATGGGATGAACTTACATGGTCTCTGAAGCCATAATCGTGTATCGTCGATCCGTTCACTGTCCGATTCCATTTCATAAATAAGAAAATACGAGAGATATGTTGAAATATAGATATCAAATGATTAAATGAGAGCCCGAAATATCGAAAAGACCTAAAGAAAACACACGATTTCAACGCGGAACGTAAAAGAACGCGAAAACAAAGCTCCGGTAGGGGCCGGTGCAGCACACAACGCGGAGGAACGGCGAGAAACTGAAGGGCGGCTATGGCGGCAGGGTCACGTGACGCCAAGATGGCGGCGCCCATGAAGTGTTGCCTGAAAGGGTCTATAAGCCTCTTAGTGTTGTTGCACTCTCTGTGCACAATGCCAGTTTGTGGCCAAAGTGCCGTACAATCGTTGCACTCACTAATGTGTTTAGCAATCTCTAAACCAGCTTGCCTGCCTACTCACTCGATCTTCAACCAACCTTGAAGCCTGTCATCTCGCTCTCCCGTATTTTTCTAAACTGGGCGCTGCACTAATCTCGATCCCCTTTTGTTGTCCGTGATGAAGTGAAGTTTTTGCAAGGAAGCATCATCCTCTTCGTCGCAAGTAAATATCATTATATGTTGTTTTTTCTTGTTTTTCTTTTTTTAATTCTAGTTCATTTAGTTTATTTATTGTCATTAAGGGCCCTTGTGGGCACTCCTTTCTTTCTTCGTTTTATCTTAGTTTGGGTGTTTACAGGCCTTCGGGCATGTGTTTTGGCCTTTTTGCATTTCTCCCGGCACTTTTGAGCCATTCGCACGACGCGGAGAGCTTTTGCCATTTGGGTCACCCTTTTCGGATGGTGCGTGTATCACTGGGGTGCGTGATTTTATAGACGCGCTTCAATGATCAGAACTGGACCTAAAAATGACTGAATACACAGCATATATTTTACATTGGGACTGGAAAAGAGCTCCTTCAGTGCTAAAAATAATTCCCCCCCCCCCCCCACCCCAAGAACAAATCCTGGCTACATGCCTGGCCCATGGGCCAGGCATGTAGCCAGGACACTCTTTTTTCTGCAGTTTGTTCTCAATTTGGTTCCAAAGCCACTTTAGGAACCCGCTGAAAAAACACGGGGAGTTCTTTTTTCCCCGGTGATGGTGGGACTTAGAATGCCATGCACGCTGGGGAAGGACAAACAAAGCTTTCAAACAAAACACAAAGGCAGTCAAAAAGGCAATGCCTTCGGATTTTGGAGTGGCGACCAACACTTTCGGTAACGCGTTTCGTGAGGCAACAACTTCAGAAAAAACTGATTGGGTGAGTGAGCGTGGGACGCCTGAAAGGACCACTGATCCCATGTCGCAAAGGACCTTGATTTGTGGTAGAGCAGGAGAGATAGTTTGACCCAAAACCCCCTACTTTCAAAATATTTCGATGGCTTCTATAGTCACTGGTAGAACGAAAAGTGCAGGGCGTGCTCTCAGATGCCTGGACTCTAGCATACGCTCATCGCCTACTGCCATGCTCTGGCTACGTGAACATGCTTGAGGCTGATGAGACATTGAAGTCTTGCTGAAGGTAGAAGGCTTCCCCTGGAGACAGGACAACTGTGTGGGCCTCTCTGCCGGTCTGATCCTGTCAGTAACTAAAATGTGAACCACACACACATTTGTTTGTTGTTTTTATGTAGATGCATTACATACTCTGCAATGAAGGAGAAAAGAAGGAAGCGCCCAACAACATACTTTATAAAAATGCCACTAAACCAGCCATATCTTCCTGTGAACAAGTCCCTTTATGAAGAGACAGAATCCAGAAAAGAAAATGTCCTGGGAAGAGGATTGGTTGTACAGCCTGCAGTGTGCCTGTTCATTAATCTTCAGCACTGTCGGCTCATAATTCCAGGTTCCGGTGCTTGCCTATTGAGCGACCAGCGAGAATCGGAAGTTATTTGAGGTATTAAATGATCTAGGACACTTACACTTCTTAAACTGCTTTGGTACTGCAGAGGGAATTTTGTAGAATAGATTTTGAATGCCCTCCTCTTAAACAGTGTGAAGAGAGGGACAGGTGACCAAATACTGTCGCACCGCAGTTTTGATGGATGGACGCAGTTACTTGGAGAGCCTTGAACTGGTGATAGATATCTTTTTTTATTTGTAATCTAGGGCTGCCAGGCTTCAAATCATGGAGAGACTCCACAAGGTCGATGACCAGTTGGACGTCTACTACCGGTCCATGGCGAATTCTTACCAGTGCATCGAAGCGGAGCTGAGTGCTCTCCTGCGTGACATTGAGGAGCAGGCAGCAAGGTGAGTGTCGGTTTCACGGCTGGTTGGGGGCTAGCGTTTCTGCCCGGATTGTGCAGTGTGGACGTCGAATTTAAATTTAACCATGCTTGTCCTTTAGACTGGATGGATGGATATGGATAAATCGTTTTGATTGGGCGGTGGCTCGTGCCGCCTGGGCCCATGTGCAGAAAGCGCCATATAGCCCTGTTGCTCTCGGCCAGGGGGTGCTGTAGCGTTCACGAGGCGCGATTACAACAGAGGCGCCTCCGCTAGCGTCCCCGAAACGTGACCATTTAATGCTGACGTGAGGTGGCGTCCCAGCGTCCCATGATGCACCTTCCACGAGCGTAAACGGGCGTCTGCGAACGTCGTTTTTCAGCGTCTGCTTACGGTTCATGCACACTGACAGAGCGTTTGAAAAGATAAAACGCTACGCACAGCGGAAACGCGACCTAAAAATATATGATGCTGCTCGCCAGGGCACTGTTCAAAACTTGAGAGCTATGGGTCTATGGTGTAGTCTTGCTCAGCTGTCAGGTTTCCCCCACATTGGGGGGGGTTTCTGTACCGATAGTTTCGCCCGTGAGACATTGGTACTGGTAATGTGGGAGTCATAGATATAAACTATAATCGCACACTGCCAGTCCAGTTTGAACCCTTCGCGCAGCATCTTTGATGAAGACTGTTCACTTACCTGGATTGTCCAGTTCCTTGACGAGTCATGCGACCTTGATGCTGACAAATCCTTTTCTGCAATCTCACCACCGGCTTTCTTTTCTTCGTTGCACCAAAGCCAAACAGCAACCCGTGGAATGCAGAATTGCTTTGTCCTAATATCGTGAAAACCAAGTCGAATTCAGACGCACCTCTTCGCAGACGGAAGACAGCGAAAACCCTCCATTGTGGTGGCTCCAAATGGCACAATGATAATAGCCTACAGGAATTTCGCGTATAGCCCATTCACATGCCATTACTGACCACTTTGTTCGTCGCGATCTGTGCCATACTTGCGGCAGCCTTATGGTGGCTGACAGACAGCAAGCAAAAGTGCGGAGACCCGCTCAAGTGGATGACCCTAGAGCCACTAAGACAAGCTTCAGGGTAGTGACACTCTGGCCATTTGGTGCCTGGGGTTGCTGTTGTCAGTTATCCGAAATCTCGGAACGCTCTTCCGTCCTCTAGAAAGGTGAAGCGGTCTGCTACGGAGCAAAGTAATGTCGCCCGAGCTTCCCGCCACCGTATCTGCAGCTCGCAAAGTGGTGCCTTTGTGTCGTAGCCTTCGCTGATTCTGCCTGCTCTGTACAAGGCATCAAAATGGCAGTGCCTACAAGGTGCAATGGGGAAACGGAGTGCCGCTACTCTAAGCGCAAGTTATTTAGTGACTCCAGGTATTCCTAGGGTTCGTGCACTGGAAGTGCCGGCTGAATGTAGAGCATGACGGGTTGGGGTTGTACTCCTCTTACAAAGCAGCTATTTATTGTCGCCATCGAAACTGAAACAATGTAAGCGGCGAAGAAAATGCCACCTGTCGCCGACGACGATGAACGTTTCCATTTAAATAGCATTTCTGCCACCGCCAAAAGTTGGCACGGCATAGTTTGGATTGCTGTTTGAGCCACTAGAGTGGTTTGAATTTTGGAAGCTGTCTGTTGAGTGATGAGTACAAAGGTGGAAGATGGCAGGGGTCGAAATAGGGGCGACCCCTTGGAGATTGTCGGCATTCGCAGCGGTCGTTTTACCGAGTGACTCGGCTTCACGATGAGACCGACTGCTGGCAACTGATGCCCTTCTGTTATTTTTTGGTGTGCCTTCTTAGGAACGTTAAAGCCGGGGCTCCAAAATCAAAAAAGAAGTTGAAGCCCAAAGTGAAGCAGGAGAAGCGATCGTCAGGCCCAGCCAGGTGACACTATTTTGTTACTCTTGCGCAATTTCTCCGCGTGTGTGTGTTCTTCCGTGTGTGGTTTTTATCCTACCTTCACCCTTCATTTTATTGCATCTTCATAATAAGCTTCTGGCATTTTCCTTTTTTTTTTTTTCTTTTTCCCCCACACGAAACAGCAAATGATTACAACCTAGCGCAGTACACCGGGTGTCTAGCGACCAGGAAAACCAGGAATTGTCAGGGAAATTTTAACTACTGGAAAAAATCGGGGAATTGCCAGGGATATTGTCAAAAAGCCAGCCCAGTCAGGGAAAATAAGCCGGAAATGCCATCAAGTGCCTTGAGCTAAGACTTCAGGACTTGGGGGCAGAAAAAATGGGCAAAAAGTTCTGCTTAGAGCGAAGCGCGAGCTCTGCTTACCCGATGTAGAATGTGCTACTTGACGCAAACGGAACAGCCGACAAATCCAGTCCAAGCCTTGGATTGGATTGAGGGCGCAACACTAGGCTAGATCCAGTTAGCGCTACAAGATTTAGTAACAAATGGAAAAGCCGCAGACCCCAATCTAATCCAAGCCTTAAGCCGAAAGTATTCGAAAGTGTGCACCTGGCGGCCATGGTGCCATTCGGTTATTGACGTGTGTTGTGCGGTTGAACGTCAAATTTCCGGAAGCAGCCTTTTCACTGACTATGTCGGCGGCAAGAAAGTGCTCCTTTAATCCGGGCTGGACAAACCCGAATTTTTCGGAATATGCAAGTTGGATTAAGCCCCTGCAAAATTATCCTCACAATGCTCAATGCCTTGTGTTGTAATGGTCTTGCATATTTAATTGGCTCTAGGTGGTCAGGGAATTCCACCTGAAATTGTTAGGGAAGACCTGGAAAAGTGAGGGAATTATAAAATAATAATTGGCTAGACACCCTGAGTACATGTTTTGCACGTGACGGCGTGGCGTCATACCAGCTGCCATTGCTTTGTGCCATGCTCCTGTGCCCGTACCTTCTGCAGCATGCATTTCGCACCGTCAAATTTGTTCTTCTCGATGGTGAGACATCAACTCCGTTGAAGTACAAAATATGCGTGCCTACGACTGGTGTGATGAATAGTGCTTCTCCTGGACACAAACTTTGCGAGCGGATACCGAAATGCGTATCGCTTAATGATAAAAGCAACTACGCTGCAGAAAATAAGGCAGCTCTTCCAGAGACTGTCGCCACTGCTCGGTGTAAGTTTACCAACCTCGCCTCCGAAGTCTTTTTGCCACCCTGTTCAGTGTATGATTACGGCTGCGTCGCTGTTATCTTCCTAGATACGACAGTGCAAACCACAGCAGAGGGTGCTGTCTATATTCGGTGTAATGGAAAACATGTGAGGCTCATTGGAATGTGATTGTAGAACATGCTATAAAAGCAAGCTTTGTGTAAACGCAACAAAAAAATGGACTCGAAAGGCAGCATTTTTGTTTTTATGTTGCACATAAGCTAGAATTGATCATTGCATCCATACTGCAAATGTAACACTAGAAGAGAACACTGCTGTGAGCTACCAGACTGCGCCAGTGGACAATGCAGGAACTCTTGCTGTATTTTTGCGTAATGAGTCCTGTGCGTTGTTCCAGGCGTTCGTCGTTGCGGCGCACAGTGCGAGCTAGCGCGAGTTTGACCAAGAAGAGCAGTGAACCGCGAAAGGTGAAGGTGGAACCGGTGTCGCCCCCTTCGTCGGACACGGACATGGGTCAGGAAAACGTGGACCCTCGCGGCGGAGCCTCGGACCAGACGGAGACCGCAGCGGTCGAGACCATCACACCTGTACAGGCGGCAACCCCGGTGGCGCAGACATCTTCTCGGTTGCAAGGGACGGTACGTGCCCAATGGCTTCTTCTTGGGCACTCAAAGCTTGGAGCCAATTGCTCCTTCCAAATAACTTTTTAGTTATTTGGAAGGAAGGAACAACTCATGTTGGTTTTAAATTTTTTGTATTGATTGTTTACACACCTGGGATTAATTTTGTCCCTTTTTTTACTAAAGCATTGTTTATATCTTTTGTAACAGTTTCAAATCTTGGGCAAATTTTTTTTTTATTCTAGCACCTTCCAATTTGCAAGTAGGGCAGTTTACTGTTTTTTGTTCTTTGCACTGTCCAGTCGAAATTCAATGTGACAACATTTGGAGAAAACTGGTCTACTCAAGTTTGCAAGTGAATGTTTTCATACCCTCTCTTCAGCCAAAACCTGCTGTAAGTTAGTGTTGAACTGTGCTCGCTTGGTGGAAAAAACTTGCCAGACTAGCTTGGCCGGAGTAGCACCATGCGATTCACATTCAGATTGAATAAACGGGCTCGGGAGCTAACGTCCTTGCATATCTATGTCGGTACAGTCTTTCATAATACCCCTTTGCTGAGGCAGTTTATGCAGCTGTGCTGGGCATGCTTTAGCCGGAGGCACTCTCTTTTAGGAGAAGGAAGAAAACAAAGGTTTGTTTATGCCATCACCCCATGCAATTGGAGCCTGACCAGAGCAAATCCACCATGGCCGCATAGAACTGCCTCATCCAATAGGTCTTTCGTATTGTTAGAGACTACTTTGAGTGAACTGCACCTGGATAAAAATACCCTTTTGGCGAGTATAATACAATCTTAAGAATAACGCTCCTAGCTGTCGAGAGATCCTTTATGGAGATGGAGAAGCAAATGTTTAGGGCTGACGTTTTTGCCGGGCATTGCAGGAAAGCAGTTCTTTAATGCATGAGTTTTTAAAGTGTGTATCCAGTGATTCTCCAGGGTAGGTACCCTTATGGGTTTCCCATGCTGTGAAATTTACTTAAAGACCGACGACCAGACCCGAGATTCTGCAAGGCAGAAGATCCTCCTCACCATAAGGGAGGAAGAAACAGACGACGGTGGGCAGGGTGGAAGGGGGAGATGAGGAAGATGGGGGAAAATGAAAAGCGTAAACTGGTCGTCGGTCTTTAACCACCCGTCCTCCAAGCAAAGCGTTTTCCAGATTGAGCACTACTTTAGCAGGTCTCGGCCATCCATTGCCACATGACTGTTTACAAGGTCTCTGAGATCCTGCACCGCTTTATTGGATCAGTGCCGAGACTGGGACGGGTTCTTCGAGGTCAAAAAGATATAGAACCCCTCCACCTTTGGAATGAGCAAAGCTACGCCTGGCCCCGAATGTTTCAGTCTCTGACCTTACAAAGAATCCATCAACAACCAACATATCGTCAGTACTTTCAAGTATGGTGGCAAGTTTTGCGCTTGCTACATTGTGTCTAATCCCGCACGTTTGCAGCCCCTCATGACGCGATCCCAAACGCGGCAGCTTCAGAACGCCCAAGGGAACGCCCAGCACACGGTGCCAGACAGTCCCAAGGCCCCGCCATGGGCGTTGCCGAAGGCAATGCGAGCCCTGCAGCTCGGCTCGCCTGCTAAACACACTCCAACGAGGATGCGCCAGTTGTTCTCGCCCTATGCCAAGTGCAGCGTCCAAGAGAAGGTTCGGGCCTTCGAGCAGAAGCTTGTCAAGCATGTGCAACCAATCCTGACTCCATCCAACGGAAAACCATCAAAGGCTACACCAAAGGCCACCGCAGTTCCCACGCCAGTCGCAACTCCATCAACCATTACGCGTAAGGCTTTGAAGAGGAAGTCTTCCTCCGCCGAAAAACGGGTCATGCGGAGCTCCACGGCGTCGCAGCTGGAGGAGAATGAGAAGCAGGCTGCCGAAGATTTGTCGTCGACGTTAACGTCGGGAGGTGAGGACGACAGCGATTGGCAAGATTCGCCGGTGGTCAAAAAGTTTGCCCTGCCACCGAGCAGGCCCAAGGTGGCTCGTGGCGACCCCGGAGCTAAGGCAGTGAGTGCAATGTCCTGTGGCATGCATTTGATTCTCTTAATCTTTTTTTTTTTCTTTCACCTGCTTTGAATATTGTGGCATAAATTTGATTGTCCTGCCAAACAAAACTGAGTGAACTTTCTTTTTTCCTGTTTTAAGCGTTGCAGTTGCCAGTTTTGCACATATTTTGTTAGGCACTTGGAAGTTTGGAACCTGAACTGCGGGTTGAACAATGCTTCAGTAGACCGATCTCGTCGAGCGTTCAACACGTGCGTAACACTGCCATGACTAGTTTACAGGAAACTGGCAACATTGCTAGAAGTGTCTCATGCCATCCCCATGCGCAGAGCAGTTGAAAAGGTCATGCACGTTCGAGATGACTAATTTCACCAACACATTACAGCAGCTTAATCCGAACTGGCTGGTGATATGTGCCTATTAGCTTCTTTTATAGCCAAAACATACCACAACATTGACCTATTCACCCGAACAATTGGTGATAGTTGCCCCTTTTGTCAGTTGTCTGACGGTTTGAAAGGAAGCCTTGGGACAGGTCCGCCGACCCAGCTTTTTGCCGAGACTAACGTGAATTGTCTGAGGACGTTTCAACCTTCGTAATTGAAGCTTTTCAGATGAATTCGAATAGACAAAACATTTCCTGGCAATTGTTTCCCAGATTTTTGTCAGTCTTATCCTTTGAAATCGTCGGAGACGAAAAGTCTCGAAGGATTTAGTTTCTTGGAGTTGTTTGCTCGAGTATGATAAGCAGAATCTGTCTCCATTCCTTCCCTGCAACTAAACAGGGCAAGGCCACCTCCAGCAAGGTCCTGGCTGTCCCCAAACCTGGCATATCGTCGATTCAGCTCGTGAAGCCCTCTACGAGCGAGCCTGGAACGGTGAGAAGCCATGCTCAATCATCCGGGATGTTTGTGGGGCTGCACACGAAGAGTGTCGTGCCTTAAAGTCTATTCACTCTATGCATCTTGTTGGGGAATCTTTTGGCACGAAGCTAGGTTTCGGGAAGCAGATTGCCCGTGTGAACGCAACCAAAAAGGTGGCACACCTCCAAAAAAAAAGTGGCAAGTGTTCTTCACTTCTGGAGCAATTTTTTCCTGAAACCTCACCAATGCCTGTCAATCACCCGAAGGAGAAACGCAAATGCTGCCAATGGCCTCTCGACCTTTAAGGCGGAGCGAGTTTTTTGAGGAGTCAAATTTTTGGCCAATTCTGCATCGAATCCAAATCAAAAAAGAAAAGCAAACATGTTGGCGAGCAAGAAGCAAAAAAGCGGTTCATACGGGTGATGAGTGAATGACACTTTAGTAGTATGGGTTGGTGGTGCGGTGCTGATTCATCAACAGTCGCGATGAGTGCAAGTGTCGCATATAAACATGATGACTGTGGATAACTTTCTTTTAATGGTGCAAAAATATCTGAAACGCTTCAAGATAATCCGCCGGTTCTTTGACATTCGAAGTCTTTTCCAAGTTTGGCAGGACTAGTAAACCCGGTGAGCCGAATATGACGAAGTTTATTGAGTGGTATTAATAAAGCAGACTGTCTCTTCACACTGTGCATACTTCATATCATTTTGATGCGAAACTCTTGATATTCCCGGTGCAGATGACAAGGTTTGGCGAAATTCTCGTGAGTCCCTACGTCACAGGTTTCACGCGTCAAACTCTACGTGTGAACAGGCCGATTTTGCAATACAGTAAAACCTCGTTATAACAAAATGGGATATAACAAACTAATGGATATAACAAAGCAATCATAATTCCCCTTGCTTGCTAATAGTATGGAGAAATGGACATTGGCTATAACAAACTAATGGTTATAACGAAATAACTACGACCGCTCCTTCAACTTTGTTATAACGAGGTTTTACTGTATCTCAGTTTCGCTAAACTGTGGCACGTTGAAAAGATGCGTCGTGTGAGTAAGCCTTTAGGCTCTGGGGCCCAAGTTGCATACAGGGATGAGCCACTAAAGACCCAATGCCAGAGAAGACTATTCCCACACTGCAATCTGGCTACCAGTAGTAGACAGGTGCCATGCCAGGTTCATTTGGTGGCTGTAACCTAAAGACGCTTTGCAGCAGCTGTTCATGGGCGCCGCCATAAGTGACCTTCAGTTTTTGTTTCCTTACATTTTGATCACTTCCCTCCATCATTGCCCTAGCAGGACAGGCTTTTGCCATTTTAAATCCGACTGTGTCCTTCTCCCCAGCAATGGCCTTTGTGGAGGCTCCTCAAAGCGTGCTTCAGTGGCTTGATATCTCGGTAAGGCAAGACAAGGTCAGTAATGGCGGCTGGAATATAGCTCGTGTGCAAAGTGTCTATATTAATGCTACAATGTGTCCCAAGAAAGCAAAAAAACAATTTTACAGTGTTTTGTTCTTTTGCAAAAATAAAGTCTACATTGCCTAACACTCAATCTCAATCTCCACTTAAATATAGTGGTAGCGGTCCGTACCAGGTGCAAAAGAATGGTTCGTTCTGAAACTTCGGCATCTGGTTCGAACTTCTAGTGCTACATTTTAGTGGGAAATGAGCGTTCGACGATTCATAGTTCATTTTTGCAATTCATAAAACCCCAAATTGTTGGGGCGGACGCCCACATAATTTTGATCCAGATCCAGCAGCGTTTATTAGAATATGGGTTCTCTAGATGTACGCTGCGGTCAACCGAGTGCGGGTGATAGGCCCCCGATTTGCTGTCAGCCAGAGACAAAATGAGTGTTGTCGGAGGAAAACAACTGTGTGCATTGTTTGTCCACGGTATGTTAAAGGGGCCATGAAACAAATTTAGAACGCAGCTCTTAGGCACCCGTTTCGGGGTTGAGCGCCGTCATCGTCGGCGTAACAGCGCGTGTTGCATTAGGGGGCGCTTTCCCGCTATATTTAGCGGAGAAACTGACGTCATGACTTCGTGTCGCGTCACCCATAACAAGTTCAGCGGCAGGAGGATGGAAGGAAGAGGGGGGCATGCCCTCCCCTCCGTACCCTCTCCTCCTCCTTCTTAAGAGCTGCACTCTACATTTGCATTACAGAGATTTCTCAACGTCTCACTTTTTCTACTTTCGATTAATACTACTCAGAATCACAACCTAATGCTAATAACTGAATAAACATGCCTCAGTTTTTCTTTCTAAGCAAAGGCAGTCAACAAATAAATAGAGAAATATGAGCATGTTCATCCCCTCAATTTGGAGCCAGAACAAGCAGCCGTGGAGCCCGATGCCTACCCTATGCCGCCAACACTTAATCATAGCCACGCGCTGGAATCGGCAAAGTAGAAAATGCGTGCTGAGCTCCAGGCTTTGCTAGAGTTTGGCTATTCTCATCACTGCAGTGTTTGGACACGAGGCACTACCCGAGTGTCCACCAAGGCATTGATTGTCACGAGCCAGAGTCGTGCTCGCACAGTTCTTGTCTAATCCATGAGCCGCGCTTGACCGTCGTTGGACAGGTGGTTTTGATCCCACAATTACGTAGTCTAGCTTTTCAAAGTCAAAACTGAAAAAAAGAGTCCCCTTTTATCCTCGCAGTTTCACCGTAACCAAGAAGCTTCAGAATTTGTGCCGGTCCGCGTGAGTGTATTTGAGCCACACTAGGACCAGTATGCCTCTGTAAGGTCGTGAACTTTCCAACCGGATATTATTTCATGACAACGAGCCAACCTCCCCACCACTCGAAAGCAAGCTCCCTCACTCTGACCAATTTTCCAGAGGAGGTAACTGGCCGATACGTGCTTCGGCGTTGGGAGTTTTGTTTTCGTTACAGTCCGGTTCAAGTTTCAAATCTTAGTCTGTCTTTCCCTAACCGGGCAAGTCTCTGTTGAAGTTGTTTGCGTTCGTGTTTGTTTGTTTATTTATTTACCTATTTATTTATTTGTCTATTTATTTTTATACCTCGAACACTCGTTTGTGGGTGTTACAGGAAAGGTATGAACTACAATTTGTCAATTCTGTAAAGTATTACAAACAGTGAGAACAAAGCATTGCATGCACATAAAATCGAGAGGATAGCAGGTTTACCGTTAATTTCCCTCTCCTAGGGTCCGCCCTCTCGCCTGAACCCCGAGCAGCCTCGCAAGCGGCTCCACAGCAAGAGCCCGGATGTGGCGCGCAAGAGGATTCCCAGCAACAGCTCGGATTCTGAACAGCAGCGTAAGCAGGGCCTGCTGAAGATGAAGACCGAAGCCATGAAGAGGTAAGACTTTGTTTCCATGCGGCAAGCTTGATGCTAGTCACTTCTCTGTGTGGGGCTGCAGTCTTGCGGTGGCACATTTCCAAAGTGCTGTTCACGATTGGCAAGGTCTGGCCCTGCCGTCTCTGCCATGGTGCTTCACACTATCTGCAGATTGGATAGGAGTATACGATTGGACTATTGCCTCGTGCTTCACGTTACTGAAATTGGTGCTGTTAGTGTTTGTGTGCTGTCACGCATTCTGTGTAAAAGAAAGTTGATCTCTTAGTTTTGTTATTTTTAATAGGTTGCTTTTTTTTTTTTTTTTTTATGCTTGGTTTTTGTCAATTGTTGCGGTTGAAAAATCTGGCCAAAACTTGTCCTCAAACAGACTTTTAGGTGTCCACAGGAAGTTTTTTTGCGCTCACTGTGAATTACTTTTCGCATCCATCTGTCTGCTAGGCCAGCCGAGATGTTACGAAATGTGGAAGCCCTTTCAATATCATCTAAAAAAAACTGCAAATATAATAATGGGAGCCTGTAAAAGTTATCAGTCAAACAGTACTGCTTTCTGTGGGTTGCAGCATATAGTGTTCTCGCATGTTCTGCAACTGGAGATGTAAGGAGATTGCAGAATATTTTTATTCCCGGTAGTATGATCGCACTCGACTGAAACAAAGTGTCATGAGGTGGCTTGATAGAGTGGCTCGATCAGGTGGAGCCCTAGTACCCTCCGTACCAACACTCCTCAGATTGCCAAAACTTTCCTGATTTGCTGGATTGTTTTGTAGCGTAAGCTACACTAGCAGAGGTTGAGCAGTTTCGTGTGGCTCCTGCAGAGCCGTGCTGCGCATGCGCAAGGAGCAGTGACGTCATACGTGTCAGATCATGGCTCGCGCTGTCCAATTGTTCTGGGCGGCAGCTTAGTTGCTTGATACATAACAACATGGCGCACAGTATACCGTGTGTGTGTCATTGAAGCAGCAGTAAGCATAATAATCAAGCTAATCCTAGACAACCAGGAAAGCTAAGATTAACCAGCTGAACTTAAGCTTACACTACGTATATCCTGGCATAGCCGAGCTAAGCCCCTGCAATTTTTTATTTTTTAATTGGCTAATGCAACCTGATAGGTATTCATAGCTCCAGCAAACTAAAATTGCTGCGTTGTCTGCTTCTTGATTTAATGGCGCGTTCACACTGGAAGCGGATCTGCGCATTCTCAATCGCCACGCAGTTGGGGTTGAGCGGTTGAGCGCGTTTCTGCCAACAGGTTTGAAGCCCATTTGCCCCAACCACTATTGCGAAGCAGCAACCAATCGCAACACGACGCTGACGTGACGTTGGTGGCTTTCAAAACAAGATGGCATCTGTTGCTGGTGAGGCATCCAAGGCGCTGTAGTCCTAGCCTTGCAGCAGACAAATCGACGAAGAAATGTGATATTCATGGCTGGCGCTTGAATTTGCCACGAAAAGAACTGTCTCGTAATCTTAACGGGCTTCGCTTTGATGATTTGGTTCAGGCAACAGTTTGTTCATTTTTCGGGCTGCCAAAGCCCATGACTCGCTGCCTTGTTAGTCCTTGCCCGTAGAGCGTCGGTACCCGTCCCTGGTCGACTTTTGTCAAACTTTTGTCCAGAGCAATAAATGAAACATAAAGTTTTATTCTTCTAACTACTTTCAGTCTATCTGAATCATAAGCAGTCCACCAACTGTATGTTGGGTGGCAGTAGCACAACACTACCAAACCGCAATCTGTCTTTCGATTTAAAACTCGTTCTATTTATCTTTTTGGAGAAGTGCTCGTGTGACTGGGAGGGAGGCGGGGTAATGGGGGAGGGAAGGGTAGGGGAGGGAGCCGCGAGCCGCAGCTTGGCCACCCCTGCTCTATCCTATGGATCGAGAGTTTTTTGGTTTTTTTATGCAACTCGCTTTTTTCATTTTTTTTTTTTTTTTTTTTTTTTTTGTGTGTGTGTTTTGTTGTCGGCGCTCTGTGGAAGTCATGGCCAGGCGTAAACACGGCGGTGTTTGTGATCTTCACCAGCTCAGCTCTATTGTATTTAGCGGCTCTTAAAGGCTCTATTTGGTAAGGTCCCGTTTGTCACGGCCTTCGGTATTAGCAGAGACGCACGGAAATTTCAACTGGAGCTTAAGTTAGCTTATTTTTGTATATCAAATGATAGATATATCAGACTGTTTTACGATCCCCTTTGTATTCAATATATCCGGGTTCGACTGTATAGTTCCCTGAAGATGTAGCGGAGAGCAGCATTATTTGGGGTTGGGACGGTTTTGCGTTTAGGTATGAACTTTTTGATGTGGAACCGCCGCTACTCATGTACAGGGGCAACTCTTAAAGAGGCGGTGCAACGATTTTCAGACTTTGGCCAATTAACTGCGGAAATTAATCTGCGTCGCCTATGGAACAAAGTGTGGAAAACAGTATTTTCTTGTGAGCACTAGTTTTTATTTTAAAAAATGAAACAAATTGAAGGTCAAAATCCCTCTCGACTCTCCACGTCGCCTTTCGATTGGCATACTCTAAGGGATCACATGGTTTCCCCTTGGATTCTCTCTTTAGAGGTCCAGCTGCTTCCTCCACAATTGTCGACTTTGAAAGCATTACCTTCGTCGAAGGTCGCGGAGAGCGATCAACATTAAAGACGGTTAGCCCCGGGGCTGACGGCGAGTGTAGCAGCAGAGGGGGACAGGTTTTGCTCACCTCCGCGTATCCCCAGAGTATGTCACACATCGGTTCTGTTAAACACGACAAGCGGCTGCAGATCGGCAAATATTTTGTTTTCTTTTTTGCAATTATGCACCGTAATGGCAGTTTTTCGGAACAAGTTTCGGGGCGTTTTTGGTCCCTTGTGCTTGGATAAGCAATACAAAAAATACAAATTTCCAATTCTTTCATCACTAAAATCGTTGCACTACCCCTTTAAAAAGGCTAATAACCTCGGAGATATTGAGTGTCTCGGCGTCTGAAGGTACACCGGGTGATGTTCCTCCTCCGGCTTTGCAGGGATCACGAGAAGAAGCTGGCACAGGTAAATGCGGCTCGCCAGCAGAGAGAGGCAAGGAGGCTGGAGGCGGATAAACTTCGAGCACTGAAAGAGCAAGAAAAGGAGGAGGAGCGGCGGAAGAAGCGGGCCGCCTTTCACCAGTGCAAGCAGAGCGAGTGAGTACCCTGCTGGCAAAGGCTGGCTTCTCCGCCCTCTCCTCTGAACGCTGGTTGGCACGGCCTTTCTAAGCGTCCGACCCTCGAGGAGAACCTGGAGCTATTTATCGAGACCTTGAAAATGAGTCAAATAGACTGTACTTAGTGTCGTCTTACGATGGACCATAGTGGACGCTACGAGCCATCCCGGCCAATCCAGCGCAGTGAAGATATCACGTAACTGGGTGCCCCTCTCGAAGGTCACGTGGCACTCAATCAGCATTGGATTGGCTGGGATGGTTCCTAGCGTCCGCTGCGGTCTGTCGTAAGGTGGAATGAAGTATAGACAAAGTTGAGGAGAGCCACGCAGGACAGCCCGTGTGGCTATTCACATCCTGTGAGATTCTCTTTATAGCGCCTTTCCTGCGTGATTCTCTTTGACCTTGACTGTTGTAAACTGCGAGCAGCTTACAACGGATGGCATTTTCTCCCCAAATGTGCCACCTGTTGGCAACAAGTTCACTTTGAGGGGGCCACCTGTTTGTGCAACATCGTAGAACGTCGAATCTTTTGGTGTCCTGAATGTCCCGTATTGACTGCCTTCTCCTTGGCAGTGTAGTTGCACTTGCTTGCCACGTAGAGCTTGCATCTTATGAATGGCAGCAGTGTCGGTCGAACTGCTTCCCAGTGGCCCTCTTGAGCCACTCATGAATTTGCTTATTCGCCAGATGTTTGTTTGTTGTTTGTGTTGCTCGTACACAGTCAAGTAATTGCATGCATGTTTCAGTCGCAGCTTAGACGTCGCAACGCTGGCAGCCACGCACAAGCGGAAAGCGGAGTCTCCCGCCATGAGCCTCCATCCCAAGTTTTTGTCCCCTGTGAGCTACGCAAATATTGCTTGTCTGCATTGTGCTTGGGAGTCCCCTGACAGAGGTACTCTACTTTTCAGGTGCCAAAGAACCCCAGAAACCACGGCAAACAGGATGCAGATGCAGCCATGGTTTGTTTGTTTGTCAATCGAGTCGCATTTGTCAAGTCTCCTTGGTCTCGTTGCACAAAGTACAGACAGGAATCCTTGCTTTCCCGCAGCTCATCTTCGGCCAGCCTAACACGAGCCTATCTCAGAAGGCGAAGCTGAACAACAGTCTTCAACAGCAGGCAATGCTGAACAGCCTGTCAAAGAGCTTCAAGAGCCAGGCGTCATCTGTTGAGGGGGACTCGGCCCCCAAAGCACCCGTCGGCGTGCAAGCGGGCGAGAGCAAACCTAATGCAGCTGCAAACTCTACATTCACAATGAACTCTACGTTCACCGTGGACGCTGTCTGCCCCGACACACCCGTACAAAGCAACTCCTCCAGGCCAAAGTCTACAGCGACCAGGTGCTTTCATTATTCACTTTTGTTACTTCCGTTCACTTCGTTGCATTGCTGCGGCAGTAGAACCTGATTTGCATACTTTGCAGATGTGTGTCGTTGGGCCTTACCTTCTGCTTAAATAAGCGAGCGCAGCGAGTGATTATGACACCAATGTGCTTGCCCCGCTATATTTTGCCAAAATATGAATTTTTGCCAACAGTGCTAAAATGTAGTTTAACTTTACTACTATTACTGAAAATAGGATAGCTTGGGCCCTGCTAGATGGCCGAATCGTTGCAGCGAGTTTGTGCGGATTTTTTAAACTTTCGGTTGGTGCCTAAAATAATTTAGTGCTCGATTTGATCTCTAAATCGAACACCGACAGTGCTCGTAAATCTCGCAATATTTCTTGTGTTAGCGGTCTGCTCAGACAGCTTAGTTAGCTTTGAGTGCGCTTCTCACCATGCTTTAGCGCACTGCAGCGAAGCGAGGAGTGTAAAGTAGGCATCGCGATTTTGCATGCCTAGCTTGCTTTGCCGTATCACACATGCCTGCCAAAAGGAAAGCCGTCCTCCAAAGTGAAATGCCACGCAGGCTGGCATTGAATATATGACGAAAAAGAAAAGAAAAGGAGGAAGAGCAAATTTTGTGAGTATGTACGTAACAACCCTACCTTTCAGTAAAAATTTTGGAATAGAACTGGAGCTAGTGTGTATGCTACAGTTCTATGCTACAGTGTGTATGCTACAGCAAACCTTTTTCTGTCGATTTTTTTTTTATTTGAGATTTATCAATGATACTTGAACATGGTCAGGTTTGTATGGGCTGTTCTTTAGGTTTTCACTTGTTTCGTTTTCAGCTTTACATATATAGGTCCCATCTGTGCGATGACATACCGTATTTACTCGAGTAATAGCCGTACTGTTTATGAAGAAGACCTAAGGGTTTGCTTTTCCGCGGAGCACGCGGATTGCCAATCACCGCGATCGACAGCATGATTCCAGCTGCTTACAGGACAGAGATAACGTCTTCGCTCGAAGATACCATCTATGAAGATTGCATTTGTATGGAGAATCGTGTTCTCGATATGGTTATTCGTTGTTATTTATGCGCAACACGGCGATTGGCTGTATGTGTGCTTTGTGGGAAAGCAGAAGCAACGCCCTTGTTCATAAATAGTGTGGCTATTACTCGAGTAAATACGGTAGTGAGTAAAGTGGAATCTCGTTCATTTGGACCTGATGGGTACCAAAACTTCATTTGAATAATGCAAAGATTGAATTATCAGAATTTTCCTTCCTAGAAACACATATAACGGGACCTGCATGTTAGTTTGAATTGTCCGCTAGTTTGAATTAAGAGAGTTTGAATTAACAAGATTTCACTTAGTATAAATTAAAACTAAATTACCTGGGGCACTTGCTGGAAGCTTTCGAATAACTTCAATGAACATCTTTATTGTTCTCATGCTAGTTCTTGTAATCGTAAAGTTTTACACAATGTTGCTGATCATGACCAAACGGTAAAAGCTTCGCTTTTATCTTAAGAATGGCAGTTTCCTTACAAACATGGCAATTTGTTGGGCTTCCTGTGGTTCCGTGGGATCAAAAAGTATAAAAAAAAACTGTGGTAAATGGTTGCGATTGAGCTGGCAATGGGAGCAGATTTTCTCTCCCCCCCCCAAACACGCAAATCCTTCCTACTAAAAAAAAATAAATGGGCGATTTTATTTTTTTATCTAGTTTCAGTGGCAGTTTGCTTATAACGATACCATATGTGACGATGTACTGCTTATAATTATCAGTTTCTAGAGTTCCTAGATTGAAATGATCAGTTTCTAGTCCAGATACGATAATCGGCTATAACGATTGAAATTTCGGGTTTTCTCTTTATCGTTAAAGTGAATTGCACTGTACTCCGTTTCACCTTGTGGTGGACCGCAGCGGACGCTTATAGTCATTCGAGCCAATCCAGTGCCGCGGACGTATCGCACGACTATGCACATCGTTGCACTTCTCTCGAAAGTCGCGGGACACTGCCATGTGCGCGGCGTTGGTGTTGGCTTCGACGACTCCTAGTGTCCGCTGCAGTCAGTCGCGATTTGAAACGAGACGTGTAGTCGCCGGCAAAGTGAGAAGGGCAGGGCGCGCAAGACGCCAAAGTGGTGTCGAAGGCAGGATGCTCGTGCTGGAGGCGGGACAGCCGAAACTCCTCCCTGCCATTCTCATTCTGTCGGTGGCCGTAGCCTCTCGCTTCTCCGGAGGGCGGTCTTGACGACGAGCTTCCTGGGGGAGCAGCGAAGCAGCGACCTACATTCTGACAAGACGCTTTGCTCGCAGGTGTTGGCAAAACCGAATCTGGGCTGCTGCCATCCTAAGTGTGTGGCGTAGTGATAGAAAGAACTGGGTGGTACTCGTGACTTGACTTGTTCTGCCTTGTTCTAATTTTTTTTTGTGTGTGTGTGTGTGTGTTTTGCAATGTGTGATTAGCTATGACATCACGCCCCACCGCAGCGAGCTTCCTCCGGCACCGAACAAGCATCCAGACAACTATGACATAGAGGACCTCGATTCGGGGGACGAGACGGACGACGACAGCGAGCCGCACAAGGAAGTGCCAGCCTGGGCAACATGTGAGCACTCCGTTCTGGTCCAGTTTCGTCTGGCACCTTCACGGTTGAGTGCCAGACTTTAGCAGTGCCATAAATATCCTTTTTCTAATCTTCTTTTCTTTTTTTTTTTTTCTTTTTTTTTTTTTTTTTGCAGACTGTGTTTTGGGGTTTGTTTCCAGGGCTTTGGCATTGTAAAATGTTGTAACAAAGATTTGATAACATGGCTAGCTGTTTCTGCGAAAGACTGTCCCTCGGCAGGAATCGAACCAGTGTTCAATTGCTCCGCCCTCAGTTATCCCCAGTGCTAGCGGGGTGGTGGCTCCTTTTTTTTTTTTTTTACTGAAAATGTTTATTTGCATGTTTGCATACAGGATTACAATATTGAAAAATATGTACTGTAGGGAGCTGATATGACACCCATGCAATGAGCACGCACTTCCTTTCTCGGCTGCTGTCCCCCTCATTCGCTAGCTCCAACAGGATGCGCTCCTGACAAATTTTAAAGGGCAACTCCGGTCAGTATTTTAGTTTTTGATTATGACTGTTTTTAGCTGGAGCTGTGTCCCTGAAGTACAAGGTATGATTTTTGTTTCAACATTGTGTGTAGTTTTATAAATATCGTGGCTCAATATTTGGTTTCGGACGTCTACGGGATAACCGAAGCTATCTGCTAAAAGGACGGCGACAATGATTATCTGCCGTATAGCCGCGACATGAAGTCACAAGGGTGCTGCAGTACACGGTACAACCAGTCAACTGCAGCTCCACCACTATGTGACGTCGCAAGGGTACTGCACCAGTGTCCCTTGACTAAAAGCTAACTTGCTTGTCACCCGCTAAAGAGCAGCTGGTCGCATCTTTAAGATCAGTTTTAGTGGAGTATGTGGCTTCAGTTTGATGTAATACTTCAGCTGTGATCATATTTCGTGCCATTAAAGCGATGCCAGTCATTTCGTTTAGTTTCATTTTTGACCAAAGTGTCCCTTTAAATTGCTGATGGTGCTGCTGTGGCAGCCGCAAATACAGGATCTTTTCTCATGGTCTTGAACGAATGTTCTAGCTCGCGTGCTCTCTGGCCTGGACCGTCCTTGCAACTCTTTCGCACTACCGACTCAACAATGCATTAATCGTTTTCATCTTTTAGTTATTTTTTAATGCTTCCTATCCGCAGTCGATATATCCAATTTCACCCACCAGTTTTGCTATGGCGCCGCAGCCGCTATGGATCGGGCGACTTGTCTTCTTGCACGTGGGCCAGCCCCGCCGCAGCTCTGCGAGTGGAGCACGGGACATTGCGACCGGTCTCGTGAGCTGCCGCATGGCTCTTGTTAACTATAGTTACGGCGGCCACATGCATGCTCCCAATGTTCTTCAGTATTGTTGCATGCGCCAAACAGTTGCCGAGATTGGTCTGTTAGCTCCGGCTGCAATGCAAAGCATTGCGTGCTGAAACCAAATGTTACTTGGTGACAGTTTCCTTCCAAGTGATCAAGCATTATGATGCTCATGCGGTAAAATGCCGAATAATGAGTGGAGAAGACTGTGTCGGATAAGCACGAAATATTTATTCGAACCCCAAATAACTGGGTTAGAAATTATGTTTTTTAACGCGCCACCAAGTTGGTTGCACAAGAGTCGCAAGAATGGCCCGGGTCTATCGGCAAGCGAGCTCAGCCACTTGCCCAGAGCAATGGGCGAAGGTCGTGTGATTGCGCCTGCCGGAGCGGCATCTACCGCGGTTTAATTTGATTGAGAGCACGTCGCATTAAAGCGAGCTAACGAGAGGGACAGCAGGCAAGAACAGACCTGTGTGCATGTCTCGGCAGCAGGCGCCACGCCGTCGGGGGGCATGGAGACACAATTAGGTCGGCGCTCCCATGTTATCCAGACTTTTGTTCCCAACAATAAATGTGGGTGTTTCTAACGTATTCTACGAGTGCAGTGAAGAAAAGACAAAGGCGACTACCTACCTTTAGGTCTACCAACTAATCATTCTAAACGGAGCGCGGCATTCCGACGTGCCCGCACACTGTCGTCTCCTTTCCCTCAGTCTCTCAGCACGACGTTGACAGTATTGCAAGAAATTTATCCCGCAAATACATCAGCCCATGGTAACGAACACGATGTGCATTGCTCTAAATCAAACAATTTTGTGCCCGCATAATATTTCCAAAACTTGCACTTCGCAAGATTTGTGAAACCTTGAGCGCGCGAAAAATAAATTCATTTACGGTATTCGAAGAGCAGCGAAGTCACCCTCTGATCACCTGCCTGCTTTGTTCTTTGCTCTGCAGCTCTCCCACTGTCCAGGATGGTAACGGCGCAGCACCGAGCTCGCCCGGCCGGTTCTCGTATGTTCGGACAAATCGAGAACCCGAACCTTGACAATGTGTTCTCTGTGTCGAAGAAGTACTTCCACAAGAGGACAAGCTCTGCCATCTGGGCCACCAAGGGGCATCAACAGTCCTTCTCTGTTGCCACTTGAGGCACCTTGTATAAACGTGCGATTACTGGTCACAGCGCAACGCGCGAAAGAGAAAACAAGTGGAAAGGAGGTTGACTGCCCACTAAATCGCGTCTCGCGCCGTCAATATTGCTCTAAAAACTTTTTTTAAGCGTATAACCAATTTTTTGACACGCGTGTCCCAACGAAACTGTTAAAAGAAAATGTTTCTTTTCAGGTGCCCTTTAAACCGCTTTTATTATTGTGCGTCCATCTTTTACCTTATGAACAACTAAAGGCTGCCTCAGCACGTCCTTTATACTATTTTATACTTCTGGTTCAAAAATATATGCGTTCGATTTTTTTTTTTCCCCCTTTTTTTGCTTTTGTATGTGTCTGAAGTCTCTATGCAGTGCTTGTAGCTAGATGACAATAATAAAGCATAAAATTTGGCGCTTTGACTAAGTTGGAGGAACACTTAAGGAGCATTACCTGTAACCAGGGATTTAAAGTGTGTTTGAAGGAACCTTTATTTGAGAGGTTGGAAAGTGAGTAGGGCAGTTTCTATCCGTTCAAGGTGGAGCATGAACAGACTGAACCAGAGCTTGAACCGGTTTGGAAGCCGAAGGCAACAAATTAATCTTTGCCTTCCCAGTGTGTGTATGCAGGAGTGTAATGTTTGTGCAAATAATTTGTGGATTTCTCGGACTATGAAGCAAATGGATCATGCTAGCCATAAGGTGCAAATTTAAAAGCCACTTTAGGCCACCTCTACACTCTGAATTGTTCAAAGAGTGGGTTGAACGTGTGTTGACTGCCTTAGGCATATGAATCGAAATGGTGAGGCCTTCCTTGTAGACATTGGCAATCCGTTTCAACTCCACCTTCAAAATTGTGGCATTGGCTGCAAGCACCACATTTCTACCACAAATGCAGAAAGTGTTCAAAGGTGCATTTGTCGGTTGGTTCAAATGCTGTAAAATATTAACTATCACCTCAAGGGGCAGTCAACAGAACACTCTTGTTTCGGATTGTGTCTGGTTTTAGTCGAGCATTTTAGGCCTTGTTAAACGCTTAAGGGGGGACGCGGCTTTCAACTTGCAAAAAATTACCAAAAAATTGTTTTTTTTTAAGTAAAGTTTTTTACTTCTATGGTTCACACTTTGTGCGTTTCCGAAGTTTCTCCGCTGAAAACCGTTGCGAAGTGCCATACTAAGATACTTATATAACCCGAGCTGACGAATTATTGGCGCGAGTTCACGAAAAAATGGCATTTATTGAAGCGCCATATCTCCGGAACGGCGCCACGGAGCGCCGCCATCTTTGTATTGATGGAAAGCGCGCTTCATCGCCTTCGAAGTTCCCGCGTCGGCTGCCCGCTCCGTGGAGAAACAAACGCATAAAGAGCAAAAGTTTCAAGGCCTCTCCGACGAAAATGGCGGCTCCTGGTTGGCTTTCCGCGACACGTGAGCGAAGCGCAGCTTGCCATTGGTCCGCTCCACCGTTGCCCCTAGCAACCAGCGCGCTCGCCGGGGACGATCGTCTGCTCTTCGCTCGCCGCGGTACGCATCGCGAGCTCGCTGGCGTTGGAAAAGTTTAGTTTTCGTCAATCGCGCGTTGCGTTTTCGGACCGCCCCGACGATCATGGCTCGACGATCTTTTAAAAAGAAATACAAGACAGCGCACGCTTTCGGCAGCCGCAAGCGGAAATCGCCGATGCGTAAAAAGAAGACTCGTCCGCTGGCTTCCAAAAGTGAGTCCTTTGTTGACGGGCAGCGCGATGCTGAAGTCGACGCGTCGCCCAGCACATCGGATGCCGTTGCGTTCGCGGAAGAAATGCCATCAACTAGCAAGGGGCATACCGTTCTTGCGCATTTACAACCACGCTTCGGATCACCAGAAGCGGCCCGTGAGCAGGCCACGGCAGTACAAGCGTCGCTTAGTTCCATGTCAGCGACGGAACGCAAGATGAAGCTGTTTGCCGAAAGCGAGGAACCGGCGAGCGCGGAAAAGTGTGAAGAGTTTTTAGTCGTTCAAGTCGCAGCGATGAACGCACTCCTCGCGACGACGCCGTGTGAGCAATGCCTTCAGCCGGGGCTTACGGTGGTGCCAGGTACAAGGCACGGGCTGGCGACAAAGATGATCCTGAATTGCGGAAGGTGCGGCGCCGTCGCGAATGAGTGGACATCGCCGCGAAGAGAAGGAGGCCGGGTCTTCGAAGCAAACCTTAGGTCAATGCAAGCGATCAAGAGCATCGGCAAGGGGTCAACAGCACTGACAGACTTCTGGTCTATAATGAACGTCTCCCACCGAGGCCTGCACCAAAAGACCTTCCAGAAACACCTGAAGGCTGAGTTCAAGCCTGCCGGCGATGCCGCGTCAGGAAGTGTATTTTCTGATGCAGTTGAGGCTGTCCGTAAGGTCTATGCAGAAATGGACCCTTGCTTTACAAAAAATATTACTGTAGTCTATGATGGCACCTGGATGACGCGTGGCCACACATCCCACATTGGTGTCGGCACTGTGATTGAGTTTTACACTGGCCTGGTGATTGACTCTGTCGTTTTGTCAAACCGGTGCCATGGTTGCTCCGTGGGCCCAAAAGAGGGTGACAAGAAATACATCAAGTGGAAGCAATCCCATGAATTGGAATGCCAAAAGAACACCAACGTGAACTCGGGGCGTATGGAGGTTGAGGCAGCATTGTTGCTCTTTGGACGCTCGCTTGCAAAGAACGACCTGCGGTACACAAACATTGTTTGTGATGGGGACAGCCGAACCTTTCTGGCACTTTCCGATGACAAAACCTATGGTTTCATCGAAATCACAAAGGAAGACTGCGTGAATCATGTGAAAAAAAGGATGGGATCAGCCCTACGTGCCCTAGTCACCAAGAGCAAGAAAGGCCAGCCCCTCGGAGGAAAGGGTGGTCTGACACAGAACCTCATCAAAAAGCTGACGAGCTATTATGGCATGGCTTTGAGAGAACACTCCGAGGTTGATGAAATGCGGAGAGCCGTCATGGCGACGTTTTATCATATCAGCTCAACTGATGCAGAACCCCACCATGAACTGTGCCCACCGGGCTCTGCAAGCTGGTGCAAACATAGGGTCGCAGAAGCCAAGAATGAGCCTCAGCCACCTCACAAATACCACCTGGCGAGGCATGTTGCAGATGCTCTTCTGCCTGTATACCAACGCTTGTCCGAGCCTCATCTTCTCGACCGGTGCAGGGGGAAGAAGACACAAAACGCCGCCGAAAGTCTACACTCCGTAATATGGTCAGTGCTCCCCAAGGATGAGAACGCTTCTTTGATTGCTGCAGAGACCGCAGTCAGTGAGGCCATTTGCAGGTACAACTCCGGCACCTTTCATGCCTACGTGGAGTTTTGCTCCTCCCTTGGCATCAAGCCTGGGCACCACGCACTGCGCAGGGCAGCAGAAAAAGACTCCATGCGCATGAAGAAAGCATCTAAAGCACATCAAGCAAAGGGTCAGAGGGCCAAGCGACACCATGCTGCAAAGGACACCAAAGACTACAACCCTGGTGCCTTTTAGTGTGCTACAAGCAACCTAAAACTTTGGACATCATTTTCTCGGAACTGTCTTTTTACTTTTCTGCTCAACTTGTGGAGCACGTTTCTTAGCAACCACTTTGTCTATTTTTATTCTGTTTGTTTCATTGTGATCCTTGAACTAAGGTGCAGGGCATGACATTCCTTTTTTTTCAAGTTAATGACTTTTTAATTTATTATGTAGTCACATGTTTGCATACCAGGTGCGCATTTCGCAACCAGGCGACAAAAAACAATTTTTTTTTTACGTTAGGTAAAGAAAAAAAAATCAAAGAATGTCTTGACCTGTGATACACATCTGTAAGTGCATTCAAAGTTCAAGAAGCCTTCTTTTTTATTTTATAAGCCCTGCAGGCTCTCCACCAGGTGCAAACAAGAAAAAAATATGATAATAAAAAGTTCTTGAGATATCAAGCTGATATTTTGGTGGATATGTTACAAACGCATTTGGAGTATTTGTGCCAATTTTCATCAAAATCTATAAAGAAATAAGAAAGTTTCTGTCGAAAGCGTTTCTGTCGAAAGCCACGTCGTCCCTTAAAGGGACCATGAAATGACTTTTTTACTTTTTCCAGATAACTTTTACATTAAACCGTCAATGTTCACTGAATGCCGAACAGGCATCCGTTTTCGTCTCGGTTTATTAACTTCTACACAAAAAATTAACGAAATATCGACTTTTTCTTGACCGCAAAAGAAGCCGTGACGTACGCTGCTTCCGGAACCGGAAGTTCTCTCGGCGGTAGGAGATGGGAGCGTTAGCGGCGACGAGTTGGGGTGCGCCGGTAGGTTTTACTGCGCCGATGTCACGGACGTATTTTCTGACCATTTTTTTAGACCACCTGAGACTGGGTGGAAGAAACACGACGAACGTCTGCGATGCGGCGCCCACCTGAGACTGGGTGGAAGAAACACGACGAACGTCTGCGATGCGGCGCCCACCTGAGACTGGGTGGAAGAAACACGACGAACGCTGCGATGCGGCGCCTCTCATCGCCGCATCGCAGCTGAGCGAAATTCAATGAAATACGTTGCGCTACAGCGACAGCATGGGACTAGTCCCATACACCGGTATGCCTGTTGGGAAGTGCAGCGAGTCTTCCGGTGAAGACTTCAGAAGTCAACCCAACTGTCATTGTTGGTAAAAGGCGGCCAGTGTCAGTCGTTTGCAAAGCGACGTAGATGGAAACAAATTGCCGCGGCGTTTTTCGCGGTCTCGGAGATGCAGGAGCGAGCCGACGTTAAAAAAGATACGTTTGAACTACGAGTGTCAGCAAGAGCCACGTAAATACCTGTTCACACTCGGAGCGGACGCGCGCGTTTGATGGAAGTGCTGTATTCGCGCTGTTGGTAAGCGCTTCGGGACCGATCTTTTACGATTGCAACTCGATACTGACGCGACACTCGGCAAAGAAAGGTTGGACCGGTATTGCACGTATACCTCCCACGAACTGTTACAGCTCGACAGTGACGTGCAGTCTGTCAGAATAAAAATGGCATACCAATAACAAAGAGTACATACCGTGTTACGAAGGTAATCCATACAGCGTTTATTTCAGCTCTATATCACACAAAACAAGGAGAGAATCGACGAGGGTCTCTTTTCGACGAGTGTTCGTCAACACTGCCTCGGAAAACAAGGGGAAGAGATTGACCTCACCTCTTAATCTAAAATTGAGGTCAGCGATCAAACTATAATACGGGAAGGGTCCACAAGGGTAGCACGGGCATATTCCATTCAGCACGCCAGCCGGTCGTAGGCAGGCAGACGGTCTTGCGACGAAGCAACGCTGCGCCGAGTCGGAGTGCCTGCTAGGCCTAGCTTCGTCGGAGCGGGATTCGCGGCTGTTGTCGCTCTTCTCGGGTGTTTGTGGATCCAGCGTTCTTGTTCGTCGTGGTCTGTTTTAAGTACATTTTTTTTCTTGCTGCTTGAAGTCGGCACGCGCGAGATGAACACATAGAAAAATAAACGTTCAGTCAGTCAGAGTTTTGAGAGGAAGGAAACCAAAGGAAATAACCGTTCTAACTTCAAAGTCGGCCAGTGCAGTGTTGCCAACCTATTTTTTCAAAATACCCCACGCCAGCATCCAGAAAATCCTACGATACCCTACGAATATTTCGTATTACCCTACATTCTACCCTACGAGGCAAACCTTTGTTCAAATAATGCTGTTGCTTGGATCATGCTTATATAGGGTAGTATTAATACAGTACAAAGCGATAGGGCACGCATGCACGCGCATACCTGGGTTATTCTAGAACACCATGCTTGCATGCGCGCTGTGTAGCATCAGCACAACAGTGTTGCTTCGAGCGCACAGACATCCCCAACCAACATGTTTAGCTGATTTGTCATCAAATTAAAAACTGGGCCATGTGGGACCAGCACTCGCGGCGGCAGACAAGGCGGCTCATTACAAAAGGAAGCTAATCGGAACGGCATATTAGCTTATTTTTTGGGTGAACCGCCTAGGGATTCGTCAAACTAAGGTAATATTTAGACAAACTAGGGTATTACACCGGGGGAGGATAGGAAACCTGCGGCTCTTCCGTATTCGCTAAAGTGTCATTCGATGAAACGTGATGGCTTCGACTTTGTTCGCTAAAACGTCGTTGACCCAAATGAACGCCTCTAGTCCCAACTACTTGCGCAGTCGGTAGACAGTCTTCAAACTGCTTACCGACTGCACAACGTGCCGGGAAGCTCCGCGGGAGCTTTGAAATCAGTTTCCGTACTCGTCAATCATCCGTGATCAGCGCTCTATGGGCGTGGTAAGGAGAGTTAATTGCAATGCGCCATAACAAAAAAAAGCGCCCAGTACGAGTGGTAGTCCCCGCTGTGGTTATTTGCAGCATGCGCACCTTACGCCAGCGCGTAGAAAAGTCCAGTTGAACAGGTGGCTGCTGGTTCTGGTGGGCTCGGCCTGGTTCCGCCCGCGGTGCCACGTATTTCGCAGGTGTAACAAGGGCCGCCGGATGGACCAGAATCATCAGAAAAAAAATTAGCGGGAACATTTCCACTGGGAAGATACCTCTTCTGGCTCCAAACTCCATATGCGCAAGTCCACCTCCTCCCACCTCTCCCACTTGCTCCAGGTTTCCAAAACTTAAAAAAAAAAAAAAAAAAAAAAAAAAATCGAGGGACTTTACTCCAACTTGGCGTGTGGTGCACTCTGTAAGCACTGTGGTTAGCACGTCTCGTAGCTTGGATACTTTCGTTTTGCATGATGTCGTGGTGTGGCAGCAAACGGGTTGTAAAGTTATGCAAAACTTGCACATCAGCTTTTTTTTAAAACTTGTTTGTATTATGCTTGCCGTTGAAGAAGCAACGTCTGCAAATACCCTACTTTGGCAGGGAAATGGCCGGACGGCCCTACAACCCTACAATGTACCAAAAATGCCTAAAATACCCTACAAGTAGGGTAATTACCCTACGGTTGGCAACACTGGGCCAGTGTTGCCAGATGGAAAAAAAAAAGTCAGCAGATTGATCCCCAAAAAGTCAGTAGATTTGCACAAAAATCAGTAGATTCCACGAAATATGTGTTTTGCCATGTTTTGCTATCTCCATTAATACACACTTCAAAGAAATAGTATAGAGTAAAAAATAACATGGTAATAAACACAAATAAAAATGAAAGAAAAAAACAAGACCAGTTCTCAAGTAAATTTATATGAAGGACAAATTAAAATGACACCATAAATGTTTTTGTTTTAGTCATTATTGACTGTTTCGAGGATTATTCTTTAGAATCGAGACTGAGGCACTTTTGGGATCACAGATGAAGGCGACAGTGCGACGTTCACCTGTCGCTATTATTGAAACAAAACCGAAACAAGACGCTCCGGCAAGTGCGCGCGAACATGTCCAATGGAAGTCCTCTGCATGCTGCCATCCTTCCTCACTGGTCTGTGGAAGGTTTTTGAAGCAACGCTGTTGGTTCGGAGCACTGTTGAGGCTACGCGTTGTCTGCTACGGGCTTATTTCTTTTTCGCCTGACCCAAAGTTTGCGTTCAAACGTGGCGAAACTTCATTCGTTAGCTTTTTAAGCCACCGAGGAATAGGATTATATCATTTTCTTGCCACAGCCTGCCAAATAAAAGAACATAACTGAAATTTGGATGTCGATCCCATGCATTCCGCCGAACGAATGAATGAAAATTGCGGCTCTCTCCGCTCAACTCGAAGCTGTTCTAGTAGATTGTGTAGGAGCAGCCGAGAATTCAGGCGCATGCGCAAACACCTCTCGCTCTGCGCCGCGGGCTGATTGGCTCACTCGGGAGAGGGACGTTACGGCGAGATCATAGACTAGCCAAACTCTCTCCATATATGGCTCTGGCCCGGATGTCACCGTCGAACCTGCCGAACCTGCTCGGGGTGAATAGATAGATGGATATACGACTACGTCACTCGAATAGGACGGGCTTCTGAGCCATCTAGCCAGTGCTTCGTTTTTAATTCTGGGACATTATGAGTTTCCTTTGATGGACTGCACTGGGAACTGAAGGGGCCATATAATAAATTTTTAATATGTTTACTAAAAAAAAAGTCAGTAGATTTTCTTGTTTTTCAGTGAATCAGTAGACCCGGAACGAAATCAGTAGATCTACTGATAAATCAGTAGACCTGGCAACACTGAAGTCGGCCCTGCCCTACTGCGCACGCGCAGTAGTTGCTTCGTTTACCACACGATAGATGGCGCTTGGCTCTCAGCATTATCAAATTTGGCAATTTTCGCCACACATCTCTAATTATGCTACAAAATGTGGATCTGAATATTATTTAACAAAACTTTTAGGAAACATTCGCCGGCTATTTATTGTTTACGATCGTGGTGCTGGTGAGGTAGGCTCTTACCCAATAGGCGACCTGGATTTGGCTGACGTGCTCCATTTCCGCGCATGCATCGTAGTGAACAGGCGAAGGAAGGAGGCGCAAAAGAGTCCAGTTTTCTTTTAAAAGTTCTATAGCAAATAATTTTTTTTGGCTCCCTAGTTTTGTGTTTTTGTGTTTCTTTTCACACCTTTTACGACGTGCGGTGGATGAAATTCGATTTTAAAATCATTTCATGGTCCCTTTAAAGGACACATGCAAAGGAAAAAAACATTTTTTTTAGACAGCTTAAATGGAAAAAGGATGTCATAAAACGATCTTACAACGAAGAAAAAAAATTTTTAGAGCTATATTTACGGCGCTATACGAATTTGTAGTTGGCGCTCGCGGGAGCCGCCGCTGGTCACGTGGTAGGCCCGCGCGCCGCCGCACGCTGAGCGTTGTGCGAACGCCGCTTCAACGCGTTTCTCCACGCCGCCGTCGCCGCCGCCGCACAAGTTCGTCTGCTTCGGGGCGCCGCCGCCGTCGTCTGACCGGCGCGCAGGTCTATCACGTCTTAGAGTGCCTCAATGTTGCTTGCCGGCTGCGCCTCAATGTTGCTTGCCGGCTGCGCCTTGCTAGAGTGGGGACATCCTTTGGGAGGGCAAGTGCCGCCTTTTCTTGTTTTCCCCCTCTCGCTCCCGGCCACCGCCGCCATTTTGCCTCCCCGATCGGCTGCCGATGCACGCGTGGGATCGCTGAACTGGCTTGTTCTTTTGCAAATGCCGGGTTGCTGCTTGCCGCAGTGTTCGAATCACTCGGAGAATGGGTGGAAGGTGTACGGCATCCCAACAAACGCCAAACGGAGGCTTCTGGCGCTCGTACAGATAAAGCGCGACGACTGGGAGCCGAGCCGTTTGTCGTCTGCGTGCGGCGTGAGTACCAACTTTGTTTCCTTGCAATCGCCGGGTCCTTTGCCGCGCAGTTGATTGCTAGAAGGTGTTATTTCAGGTCGTGATCAATTATTTCAGATTAAGGCTTCTTCGACTTGGTACTGCAATGAACCGCCGCAAATAACTTCCGCTGGTCATGGTCGAGGAGCGGCATGGAAAGTGTGTGATTATTCTTTTTTTTTTATTTTATGTGGATTTTATATCTGTGGATCCTATCCAGGCATCTATGTGTCCCGTTTTTTGTATGGTATTGTTGTACAGTCCCAGAAATTTTTTTATATATTTTTTCTATTACTTATTTTGGTAAGTTGGCTCGTTTAGGTGTGTCATCACTTTCTTTCTGGAATCTGTGTTTGGTTGTTTGTGATTGATTCTTTTTGAATTTAGTGTGTGTTTTATTTCTGGGTTTACCTCTACAGGCATCTGCGAGTCCTGTTTTTTGTATATATCAAGCTGCTGTGTCAAATAAATCCTAGTGTTTGAGATCTCTTCGTTCTCTGCCTTTTTTATTTCCATTTCCTTAGTCTCGGGTCATCATCATCAAATCTTACCCATGTTTAAACAATACTCTAAATTTTAATTACGGCCCTTATCTTTGCCTTCAAAATGTCAAGTAAACAAGTGTTGTAAGTAATGACTCCTGTACTGAGTGCACCACATAACGATCTCCATTCTCTCCACTTTAAACTTGCTTCGTAAGACTTCTGCACGTTGCTGATACTCTGTTGAGAATTACCTTCCATACGAAAACGGGAGCCTGTATGTTAAATGTTAAGCCTTTTTTTATCTTAGTGCTCAGTACTTTAAACGTATCTAATATGACAAGTTACTACCTAAAGATATTTGTAAACTAAACGTACATCTATTGATTTCTTTCGGCATCAGTGCATTTAAAGGAAACAGGTGAGAAAAAATATTGTAATAGTAACAAATAAAATATTCTGATTTCTGTCTGCGGAAGGTATTTTGAGAAAACAGGCCAGCAAACAAAATTTATAGATACCTACTGCGGCCGTTTAGGGGAATATAGAAAAAAAAACTTGAATCTGTCTTGATTTGTGCGTGTACTTCTGTGTGTGTGCTGCTGCCTACAGGGCACCAGCGCACACAAAATAGGCAAGCAACTTTTTTTTTTTTAATGTAAGTTGTAAGGTTTTTATTTAGAACAGCCGCACCAACAGGTGAGGAACTTTTAAATTCTACATGAGCCATGGAAAAAACGGAAATGTTTGCTTGTCAAATTACCTCTAAACTCTGCACGGCGACCGCCTGTTCAGTGTTTTTTCTTGCATCAAATGACCCATTTCAGTTTCATAGCTCTTGGAAGGACAGCGCGTCCAAGTATACTCAGAATTCCAGCGATATTGGCATAGTTTCGGTTTCTGCATTTCAGTCCCTTCCGATGAAAAAACAAACAAAAAGCCTCAACAGGTCCTGATGGCATGTCTCTTATTATGGAGTTCTTATTTCAGAAGCTCTGAATGCTAATCCAGAACTAATCAAGATAATAATCTCGGCGAATAAGAGGCGATAGAAAGCAGAACGTATATGCTGATATCTGCGCCTCGCTCGTTGATCGCTTTCATTTTTTTCATTCAATGCAAGGCCAAACACGGGTAGGTATTGCAGCAGATGATAACGAACATAGCCGGTATCAAATGTACTTGCATAGAACGACCATCTCTAAGAACTGAACCAGAATGCCAGCTGCAGCCGACGGAACTTTCGCGAGCACATTTGCGTTGTATGCGGACTAAATCGTAATGTTAAATAGGAAATCAAACGCATACTTGACTAAACACATGACGTTACGTGTCTTGAAGTGGTCACGCTCTATTTCACAGGTGAGAATGCTCACTAACTGCGTAAAGAGCTCATAAACGGCTGCATAAGCCCCGTTTCACATAGACTCGACTGGCGAAGAAGGCGGCAATATGGCGGCTCCGCTAGCAGACGACAGAGTTGTCTCCACTCTGGGACGGCGGCAGCCAACAACATTGAGGCACTCTATCACGTCTGCTTGCGCTTTTTCAGGAGTTTCCTTTGGGCTCTAAAAGTTACTTATTCATCTTAGTTTTTTTGTTATACTTCAAACAAAGATGAATAAGTTACTTTTAGAGGCCATAGGAAGCTTCCGAAAGAACGCAAGCACCACGTGATAAATAAAGACCAGTCACGTGATAAATACAGACCACTTTTCCGCGGTGCCCGCGGGCGCCAACTACAAATTCGTTTTGCGCCGTAAATATAGCTCTAAAAATTTTTTTTCTTCGTTGTAAAATCGTTTTATGGCGTCCTTTTTCCATCTAAGCCGTTTAAGAAAAAAGTTTTTTTTCTTTGCATGTGTCCTTTAACAAATGCTCCTTTTTTTTGGGGGGGGGGGGGTTTGTTTGATTTACTGGTACTATTTTTGCACGTTGTCACAGGTTCGCTTTGTGTGGCAGATGTCTGTACCAACATCGCATTGGACAAAAGCTGGCCTAAGCAATAGGCATTCCTATATTTATGTGGGCTGTGACATGGGTTCTCTAAAGCAGAACACTAAGGACCTTTGACAAACCAAATCCCCACGCCTGTTACTTTCACTAAGGACTTGTGAATGGGGCCAATGCAGTTCATAAACTTGTGTATCCTTGTAAGAATGGCTTTTGTTTGTTTCATATTGTATAAGTCCTTCTGGTCCTTAAAATGGCTCAATCCCTCAGAGAGCACTTGACTTGCAAGGTCAGCAGTGATGGAAATGCTGTGCCATTTGTGCCAAATTGCACCATGAACGAAAGTCTGCTACATCTTGCACCAAAATGCCATTTTTGCTAAGATTTGCGCCACACCTGTGCCAAGATAAGCTTAAAGCAAAAAGATTAATATTTAATTATTGGTCACACCTAAGATTTAGAGAAGTAGAAGGAAAGTTTTACAAATAGGAATTTCACAGCATCTCTACTCACCACATAGTTTGTTTTGTCTTAGGTTGGAGCACAAAGGCTCGGACTCGTACCACAGACACGCATACTAAAAGCGCAAGTACCGGGGCATTCGCTGCGCTTCACTGGTTCAGCTGATGAAAGAACTCCTACAAGGAGATGGCAAATGCCATGATGTCGCGCTCTGATGCTGCAAATCAACCGGCCAGAGCCCTTGATGCTGGCCAACAACCGCTCTGGCCAGTTGATGCGCTGGCTGGCTGATCGCCCACATCGTCTAAATTTCGAGACGATGTAGTCGATTTCGAAAACTAAAGAGTCCCGAGAAAACCTCCCAAAATAGTAGGATTGCTGATTGCGGCTACTGTGATAAAACAGAACCAGGTTTATTACTCCTGATAAGATCACCTGATTGTTGTGTCTGCCGCATGCCCTGGTTTCGTGGCTGTAGAATAATGTGGCTCTAGATCTGCTCGTGTCAACCTTTATTGCCTCTCGCCAGCTTGCGTGCGCCGAGCTTCACCGCTTTGCGTCGGAGTGCTAGGAGCACCGGCTGACCCAAGGGTGCACCTGGTTTAGTGCAATAGGCACGCGGATTACGCTCGGGATTATTACAGGTCGACCTTCTGTCTTAATTGTAAGTTGATCTCCAATTTAAAACAAGAAACTGATCAGAAAGAGAGAGAGAAAGAAGATGCAGGTCTCTATATATTTGAATAAATACGGTAGTTTCGGTAGTTACTGTGCAGCTGTTGATCGAAAGAGCAGCACACTTTGGCACAACTCTGGTTCTTACCAGGGGTGTCGTGAACCTGCCCAGGTTAGAGTTCGACCAAGTTCGACTTTTGTGCGCATGCGTGAAAATGAGAAAACCAGTTGAGTCCACCTGGCAGAGGTAAAGCACAATATTTGTTGAATGTATTGGCATCATTGGTTCACATGATTAACGAAAGCATTAAAAGCGTATATTTTTAAGTACTTTCTAATTTATTTGTTTTCCAGAATTCAAAATCTCGTAGGAGCCGGGCAATGCTGCTCATAAGTTTAACTTCTTCGAACTTTAATGAAAGTCTGAAGGTTCGGCGAACCAGTCTAACCTTGAGGTTCGACGAACGTTTGCGACACCCCTAGTTCTTATGCCGCTGAAGAGCTGTGCCGCCTTTTAAAGCGCAAGTGTAAGCTTTTATAATATTTTTATGCGGTTTTCACAGTTTATGATATTAGTCTTGAGTTTGGTGGGTTCGTTAAACTTACGGGACACATTTTTACTGGTAGATGTGTTAGGGAATGTCCTGGTTCTTGCTGGCATATTACATAATGATATTTACAGGTTAAACATACTACCGAGTGTAAAAGGGGGGGGGGGGAGAGAGGATTTATCCCAATGAAGTGCTGTGCTATGATTCACTTTTCAACCATTTTTTAATACCCATTGTAAATGAAACCCCTGAGTAGAGCCTTATTAAGGTGAAAGCCTTATGTCTCTTCGTTCAGTTGACCTTCAAAGTCCTTGAGCGAAAACACGTCGGCGACACGAAAGGTACCAAAATGTTTGTGACCACTCAGGCGAAATGAAATCATTTAAAGATACAATCACTTTTTCATTCTCAGGTGGTGTGCTAACAAATGTTGGCATCTGCTCCAAATGTGTCAGTGGCTACTCAAAACCAATATTTTGCCTTCTACAGAACCTGCTACAAATAGTCGAATGCCACTTCGATCACCGGGTCAAGTCTAATCTGTTGATATAAACTGCACAAGTCCCAAGTGCTGAATACTGGCTCTTGCAATTGCTCTTTACCCTTGATGTGCACCTTACCTTTTGTTGGATTGTCAATAATCTTGTATAGGCACAAGATGGTTCAGCCTGTAAATTTGTAGTGGTATACCAGCTGAAAGGTTTGTCCACAGAGTAGCTGGAGTTCAGCTTCCTCTGTTTGCTGAAAAACTTAAGAAAAGGCTGGTGAAAAATTTTTTTTTTCTCAAGTGTGGTTAATGAAAAGAACATTGACAACTACACATTAATTTTTTTTTTAGATATATATGTAGGGTGTTTGAAATAACCAGGCCCGATTTAGAATGGGCCGTAGAAGCCGGCACCTGCACATACAATTCTAAACTTTTTGTTAAAGGTGTATTTCACACGTTTGTTTTATCTTGTAAAATTACAAAGCGAAGCTCCCTTTCTGTAAAAAAGATGGGGTCAAAAACCTTGCCAGGGTTGACGGCGACGCAGACAAACGAGTCGAGTGGCAATGCGCTTTCGGCACACATATTGGTAGATGGCGCTAGCCCCTTATCGGGACTAGAGTTGATTAAAGTTAGCGTTAAGAGTGAGGAGTCTCGCCGCACACGAAAGGAGGGGAAAAGTATTTGGGAGGGAACTTGCGGACACTAACCACCCTAACTCTCGGTTCTTAGCAAACAAACCTCGGCGCCTCGGGACACCTCGCGACTGAGTCCATTGACTTCTTTCCTTGATGCGCGTCTGCAAGTAGTTAGACAACAACAACGTACCGCTCGAGTTATTTAGTCTGCCCTCTCTGAAAGGC